ATACTGCACATGCTATCATCCTGGATCAGACAGACTATATTGCAAGCTTATGCAAACACTCCATCTAGTCATCAACTGTCACGACATTCCGCTATCTAAGTATAAATGCGTATAAAAGCATGCGCGATCTCTGCTCGTCTTTGATACGCATACATGTACATTTATCTGACTGGCATGGCACTGACTATATATCGTAAATAAATTCATTTTTATCACTGGCGTCACTGAAATATTGAGCGGTACAGCAAGACAGGCATTACAAGCCCGCGATAGTAAGAGAGGAGTGCACGCGAATAAAGGCATGTTATAGCAGATACTAGCTCGACCAGCATGGGCATATAAATGCTGCATAGGAATTAGCAGAGCCCTAGGCTGAGGAAATTCCTAGGGGGGGGGGGGGAAATTTCATGAAATAATTATTAACTGTGTAATGATGATGAGCGATAGGCGCAGCTCTTGATCGACGCCCACAGTGTGGTAGGGGTGAGTGTGAGACAAGGTTTTCACAAATAAGTGACAAAAAAATCACGTTAGGGTTATTTACGATTATTAGCTATAGAAGCTTATCTTTTAATTTTGCTCCAAAATCTAGGTGGGCAATTCATTTTCGCAATGTGCGACATATGCAAATGTGGACAGCTCTTATATCCTTCGGCCGGATGTACGTGTATAGAAAAGCACGAGTTACGCTTAACGCTGGCCTAGAGCAATTTTATAGCAATCCGTCAGCCTGTCACTGTATTTTTATTTAACCGATACCGTAAATAGCACGCCACAAGCCTAGTTTAGCACCCCGGATTAGTTTAACTGCACATATGAGAACTATGTACACCGGAGGCCCAAACTAGGATTGAGTACATAATAGGACACATATTCTATAGAATTGATAGCACATAGATTTATGCACTGCATGGTACGTGCTAGCTCTAGTACTATAGCCCGCTTACAAATGTAAGCGGCTATAGTACTAGAGCTAGGTACGTGCCAAGTGTTAGCTCGCAGACCTACACTTGAAGTTGAACGCGAACCAAGCATGGATAGCAAGCATGAATACCGAACACGCCGTAATGAACAGAACTGTACTTACCACCTCTACAATTTGGATCGAAGAAGGAAACGTTGTAGACTGTCAAACACACGACGTGTGCATGATAAGAATAATTGTGATCTGACTCAGAATGCCTCGTTTCGACAATAACAAGCAGAGAATATCACACCGGCAGTTATACGGTCAGTGAACAACACCGAATGCACCGCCAAAACAACTAGGCTTATACCGCCATCTCGCGACAACCAACGTACATTTTGCGAACTGTAAGCGCTATTCTGATCACGTCTGATACGCACCCTAACCTACCTAACCTACTTATTCTAATTACCACCATCAAGTTTATCACTGACAATGCAATTTAGAAAATTTCGATGGAGTCTACGATTCAATTGAGAGATAAAATTTCTTTGATGACGATATCTAGACTAACTCACAGGCGTTTTAAAATGTTTGGCCCTTTGGAACAAGCGATCCCTCTTCCTCATCGATTTCTCTCGAAGATGACAACCAGGGGACTGAAGCCTTATTGCGAATAATTTTACGAGGGACATAGGCATTTACACCTGAGGTAATGGCCTGTTTTATTTGCAACTACTGTAGTTAGATTCAAGAGATCTCTTGGACGGCTCGGTGGAAAAGTATGTAGCATTAAACTGAGTATAATGATTTGAACGTGCCTCTTTGTCAGCCTTATCAAAAAATAAGACACACTAAGAATTTTCTATCGGCTAAGTACGTGCACATTTATCTGCAGGCACATATATGCTGCTTTTTCCTTCGACCATATTTATTACAGAGTACTTATCGTGAGCAGAGTGCTCTCGGTTTGTTCCAGGCATTTCACGTCGATTCTTTCTACTAATGCTTCACGCTTTACGCGCTAATGGAGTTTGTTCATGCGAATACAAATAGTTACACAGTTGCCCTCGCGTTAGGTGGCGGCAAGTTGAAAAAGAAACTATACGAGAGCACGTGAAAGAATTGCAGCGCGCGACAATTTTTAATGGCGTGTTGATGGCGGTTGCCAGTACAGGCACAGCACGTGATTTTTTATTAGGCGAAGCAATGAAGAAGGTAAATGTCGCTAATCTATTATCACTTATTATTATTATTCATATTATTTTATATCATGATTATTATTCATATTATTTTATGAAGATGGTAAATATCAGTCCCGGCTGCTCCAACAAGATTTGACAATGGCATTTTGAACATTTTCTCGGTGGCGCAGGTAGATTTGTGAAACATCGCAATTATGAAGAAAGAAAAGGCGTCGAAAAAACGTTTTAAACGAAATTTTAGCGCACGATTAACAATAATAAAATTACAAAGTGCCTTCATCATGAAAAGATATTAAAGCAGCAAGTATAGAGGTGAACAATAACAGAACTATTATGTCAAATAAACATAAAACATAATTTAATAGCCAATTCGTTTTATTTTATTGCATAACTATGAAGATCTTCAATGTTTTGATGCGTTGGGGGCTCCTTTTACGATTTGCCCAACGGGTACACACTGGTGTTCAGACTGTAGACATGTCCCGCGTGCAACTGCTAGTTTTGGATAAGCTGCTGGTGCTGGTGGTGGGTGCTGAGCGCGCTGCAGTCGGAAGAGGCTGTCACGGAGCGTTGCATTCCAGCGATCCTTGAGTATGCGGGCCGACAAGCCTCGACCTCCTCCACGCAGCTGCTGCCACGGCGGGGGAGGCGAGCCGGAGAACGCCACCTGCAGTTGGCTCACGGGTTTCACCTCGAGGAGAAGACGGCCATGGCGTCTCCCCTTGGGAGCCTCCCGTTGTTGTGCCATCAGAAGCAGTGTTGTTGTGGGGCGATGCAGCGACGTGTCCTCATCGTTGGTCACTCGGCGTTGGTCAGACATGGGAAATGCTGGTCTCTAAGATATGGAAATTAGCAAGAGCGTATTAAGAATGTTGAGAATGTAATTAAGAATGTATTAATTAAGAATGTATTAATTAAGAATGTATTAATTAAGAATGTATTAAGAATTAATTCTTAATACGCTCTTGAAATTAGGAATAGCATGTCGTAGTATTTAGGCATGAGTACATGAAATGAGACACGAGGCATGAAATTTGCACTCACACTCGTTAACGATTACAAGTACATATGCTGATATCACGAGTGAATAATATTATATACACATGTAGAGAGGTTCACTCGACTGTCTATGAGCCCCACACACTGGGCCCAGGCTTCGCCTTTTCACGCGGCCGATCGGCCCAAGCCCCGTAAACAGCCCCATCTCCGGTGTCCACGGGGCTTTTTTTCTGGCCCCCGTCAAATTTAGAGATTCTTCGAATCGAAATCGAACCGGTTGTTATAAATTCATATACCAAATAGTAGGGAATAAGCATAGTAAGAATACATATGAATGTGACAGAGGTTTCATTACATAATTCATCAGTTAAAAAAAAAAATCAGCCCCGTCTAGAGAAAATCAGACCGGGTAAATGACGGGGCTTTTTTAAGGCCACGTGGTTTTCTCAGATGGCGAAGCGTGTGGGTCGAACATACTCCTGTATAGAAGATTGTTCCTAATGGCTACATATCTGTACAGCAGCTGCTGCCACACATACTGTATAAGCTGCATATTTCGCAGTGGTTTAATTTTCGCGAATTTCGCGAACGCGTCCCCGACCGCGAAAATAACAACACGTAACATCGTTCATACCGAATAACACCGAATAATTCTTAATTCACCGACCGCGAAATTAACCGCTCGCGAAATTGTACGTCAAGTCTGAATTCGCGAAAATATCTGTATGCGAAAAATATGGTGTATACAGTACCTGGTGGTTGCATTGCTCACTGAGGTCCCAATTAAAAAAATCTTTGTTTGCCCTCACCCGACCCAGGCTGAAAAGTTTGGGCAGGTAGGTAGGTCGGCTTTTTTTTTTTTTGAGGGCGGGGTTCTTTTTATAAATTCAGCGTGGTGTCTACATGCTCGAGTGTGCTTGTGTAGAGATACCTTTTATGTTGAACGTTTCTTTTGCTTGGTACATATAATGTATTGCCTACAGATTTATATAATGTACAGTGATACAATTTGTTAAAAAAAAGAAGAAAAAAAAGATCAATAAAATTTTTTGAGTCGGCCCCTTTTTGGCGTTGACAATGAGACGGTACATGTGTCACGATTATCAGACGCTGCGTGTCATCTATGTGACAGTGACGGTGACAATGATGACACGGTAGACGCGTCACGACGCGATTAGGCAATGATACGTATCCCAATGTTGAGGCAATGATACGTATCCCAATGTTCGCGTCCGCGATCAAACACTGCGTGTCATCTGCGTGACAGTGACATGTGACAATGACACGGTACATGTGTCACGATGATCAGACGCTGCGTGTCATCTGCTTGACAGAGACGGCGTACGCGAGTGCCAGCGCCGCGTGACAATGATGACACGGTAGACGCGTCATGACGCGATTAGGTAATGATATGTATCCCAACGTTTAGGAAATGATACGTATCCTAATATTTATGCAATGATATGATATGTAACACGATATGTCCAATATGCATCATGTTACTTAGGCAACGATACTCACTTAGGCTATACACAATACGATATTTCGGCAAATACACATTCACGCATACCCATCCCTACCTGTGTAACTATATCATAGTGAACCCTCACTGTTTCTGCTGCTCCACCTGGTCACCTAAAGCCTCCCCCAGCGTGGCAGTCCTACTGCACCCTGCCCCACCACGCCTGCCTGCCCTCCCTGCCCTGCCGCACCCATATGTACCTGCCTGTACGTATATGCCCACACACACATATGCTCTGCCCTGCTCTGCCCCTGCACCCCGCTCTGCCCTGCTCTGCTCCTGCACCCCGCTCTGCCCTGCTCTGCCCCTGCACCCCGCTCTGCCCCACTCAGCCCCGCCCCGCTCAGCTCAGCCCCTCATCACTCACTCATCAGGCCGCTGATGATCATGTCCCAGTTGTCGAAGCATTCTCCGCACGGCACGCAGTTCGGCAGCTCGCCGGTCGTGCCGCGCTGACATGCATCGCAGCGCCACCCGGTGATGCCCGGCAGACACACGCACTGGCCCGTCCGACGGTCGCACTGCCGCGTCGCCGATCCCTGCTGGTCACAGTCGCACGCTGCAAAACACGAAGCACGGATGGTGAGCGCCCCCTGGCGTGCATTACGGGAACTGCTCCACTGTCTGGTGGAGGTTGGAGAACGAGATCGGAGGATTGTCGGTTGCCCGCGTGTTGCCATGACGACCTGTTAGCGTTTACAGCCCGGCGGCCATCTTTGACACTTCCATCTAATCATAAACTTAATTGTACATTTGAGATCTATCACGATATTCCGTATTCGATATTACGATATCCATATTTGAGTCAAAATCTAATAATGATCATATACCGCATCTACCAGCGACTCTCCGCCGTAACAATGCGTATTGGTTATAGATTATTCAGACCTGCCAAGGTTGTTCAACCAGCTTGCTGGATGTTCAGTGAGATTTTGCTGGAGAATGGGTCATTTTGGGAATATCATAGTGGAGGTTCAGAATATTTTCAAACATGACCAGTTTCTGCATATTTGGCTTTAAAATATGTATTTGCAGTACATATATTCTGCTAGCATTCGAAGAAAAGAATGCAAAATTAAATTTTAAGGCATAAAAACCTTAATTCTGAAGTGTCGCATACAGTTTTTTTCTTTTGCGTGAATGCTTGAAAATGCCTAGGGCATGCGGGAGCGCGAGAGAATGGGTCCAGATGCGTGAGTCTCCCGCGAAATGCACGAGACTTGGTTGGTCTGATTACTGATTAGCAATATTCCATATTCGATGCTACGATATCCATATTTGAGTAAAAATCGAATAACGATCATATACCGCATCAATCGGCGACTCTCCACCGTAACAGTGCGTATTGGTTATAGATTATTGATTGGCGATGGGTGTGTGGGACCGTATGTTACGCACCGTAGCACTCATCGATCGCCGGGTCGCCCCAGTAGTCATCCTTACAGGCTGCGCAGTCTCTGCCTCCACGGCCCTCCCTGCACTCACACTGACCGTCAAACTGCCAACAAAAAACACCAATGATGACTATGAGTCACGCAGACTTGCAAGCTTTACAGCAGGGAAGACTGTAGTGGGGATATTCCATCATGGAGATAACAGAAGCAGTCAGCAGGGAAGCGGCGGCAGCAGCGGTCAGGCTCACGGCCGGCAGTCCCTGTAGTGGTCAGCCTTCGTGTCGATGTCGCCCAGGTAGCCGGTCATGCGGTCACTCAGCTTCATGATCTCGGCGGTCAGGTCCTGGAGCAGCCTCTCCTGACTCACGAACTCGGACACCATGCCTGCGCGGAGGACAACGACACCACCGATGATGTACAGGGGCGGAAATTAGTTACATACATTAAAATTTAATTAAATACATACATACATACATACATACATACATACATACATACATACATACATACATACATACATACATACATACACATACAGATTTAAGAATATATAGTATACAGTTAAACCTCGATTATGCGATCGAGGCGGGCGGGGAGTATTTTGTTTGGATAACTGATTGTTCGGATAACTGATCTGATCGTAGTACCGGGAAATATTCACGGGACCTTGAGATCTTGTTCGGATAATTGACGTTCGGATAACCGAGGTTTGACTGTAATAGTAATGTGTGGGGTTGTAAGACTGCGGCGCCACCTACCGCGTAGCTCAGACAGCTTGGCGCCGGTGTCGTCAGCGAGTGCGGACGCTCGGGTTCGCAGCACCTCAGCGCGATCGAGCGCGCTCTCGCTGTTAGATGCCTTCTCATCGAGCTCCTCCTTCACCTCCCCAAACTTCTCCTCCAGTACGCGAGCATCCTGTCATAGAGACACGCACAACGATGCTGTCAGACATGCGCAGCGATCCATGTTACATTTACACTGCCGATTGTCGGTTGTATAGTCGGGAAGTTGGTCCAATTCGCCGAAAACAAAGTTGGTAGTGTGAACGCAAAAAGCCTCTTGAAAACTTGGGTTTTAGTACTGGCTAGTTGCAGGATATACAGTATGTATATCTGTACTGTACTACCATTCCAAAATCCGGAAAATTTCGAATTCCAAAACGTGTCTGGTCCCAAGGGTTTCGGATAATAGATTGTGTACGTTACTCATTTGCTAACTTGAGGCATGAAACTGCTACCTAAGCTAATGACGCAATATCTCTGAGATTTCCCCAAGAGAAGACAACAGGGGCGCGTTTCACTAATGTCCGTTCGCTAATTCTTTCTCCGTTATTTAGCAGACGTTAGTGAAACGCACGCCAGACTTCCTTCCCAACGGATAATAACACACTACCATGCCACTTGTTGGCAAAATACTCCCATGCCACCTGGTGGTAAGACACTGTCATGCCACCTGGTGGCGGCGCATTTACCTCGTCGGCTTGGTGCGTGAGCTCGGACGCCCGCTGTGCCTCGTCCGCCGATTTCTTCACGTTGATCTCGTTCTGCGTGAACTGTGTTTTCACCTTGGCCAGACGCGCCCTCAGCTTGGTGACATCCTGGTGACAGATGACAGACACACTGAGAATGTTACTACACAAACAAACGTGCACACACACGCACGCACGCACGCACGCACACACGCACGCACGCACGCACATCCACATATATCATATATGCATTTTTTTACCAAGAGCTAATTATGACTATAAGGGGAGGGAGGGGGTTCTGGGGAGTTTCCCCCAGCAAATTTGTTAAAATTTGAATGTCTTAGAAGTGCATTTGAGGCACCCTGAAACCATTTTCACAATGGCGATGTTAAATTTGACAATGGCTGTGCGCCACTGTGCCTCTTTATGTATAAGAAACCCTGTAGTGGCTATTTATGATACGTCTGTGACCAACAAACCTGCATCGACTGATTGGCCATGTTCATCGCCATGTCCGACGTGACCATGATCTCGTCAAGGTCGGACTTTGCGGCGTCAATGTCGTCTGTAGCGTTGTCGATGGCCTGCTGAGCTTTGTCCTGCGCCTCCTTAGCAGCTGCTAGCGCCTCTAGTACACCCTGAGCCACGCCCAGGATCTCATCAGCTGATTCCCTGCAAACACATACAGTTACAGTGAGAGGGAGGCAGGGAGAGAGGGAGAGGGGGAGGGAGGGAGAGGAAAGAGGAAAGGAGGGAGGGGGAAGGGGGAGAGAAGAGGGGAGCGAGGGGAAGGGAGGGGAAGGGAGGGAGGGATGCAGGATGAGCAAGCTGGGAAGGAGGAAGGTGAACAGACAAGAAGAGTGGAGGTACCCAGGCACTATGCTCATATAACCAAGGAAACTGGTGAAAACTCTTCTGCCAACTCACTTGGCCTTGTCCGCTCTGTCCTTCAGGCCCTCGGCCGTCGCCAGGTCACCAGCGGTCGCGTTCAAGATGGCGTCGATGTCCGTCAGACTCTTGATTGTCTCGTTAATCTGCTGTGCTAGGTCGCGAATCTGATCCGGCTGCAGCGAGATGCTCATGCCGAGAACCTGCGGGGATAACGGGAAACGGTCAAGTACATTGTGTGGACACGTGCCGAGAACCTGCGGGGATAACGGGAAACGGTCAAGTACATTGTGTGGACACGTGCCGAGAACCTGCGGGAATAACGGGAAACGGTCAAGTACATTGTGTTGGCACAAGCTGAGAACCTGCAGGGGTAATGGGAAACAGTCAAGTACAATGTGTTAAAACAAGCTGAGCACCTGTGGGGGTAATGGGAAGCAGTAATGTACAATGTGTGAACACTCACGGAGCATGTGGGGGTAACAGAAGCAGTAATGTACAACGTGTGAACACTCACTGAGCACCTCTGGGGGGTAACGGGAAACAAACGAATGACAAACAGAAATATATTGACACATGTTCGGCATTTGTATAGGTAAAATAAAAATCGGCAAGTAGAAAGAACAGTTTATACGCCATCACAGTCTGCTAACAGCAGACTAAGCGTATGATGCGTCACCATGGCAACAGCGACAAGACACGGACATACCTCGTTGGCGAGTTCGCGGATCATCGGCGGAGTGGCTCCCTCTGCATCGAGGAAGTCGGTGATGTCCTGGATGAGGCCCTCGAGGCTAGAGCGCGCGTCGTCCGACATGTTACGCGCCATCATCGCCTTGTCGTACGCCAGCTGCGAGTCGTCCTTCGCCATGGCAACGCTTATCTTCGCCTCACCAACCTGCAATGGTGCGCATGCGTGACAGCATTGTACAGATAGACACAGCCATGAAGGCATGCAGTCGGAAGGCATAAAGGCGGAAAATCTCCGCTTTCTTATTCCATTTCCGACACTAAGCAATTTCCGTGGATAGCCTTTATTTACAACACTAGCGCACTACAGTAAAATTAGAAGTTTGGATATGGATGAGAAGTGCTCTACAAGCGTGTTTATTTCTCTGTTTAATGAATACAGAGGCTTGATTGTTCACCTCAAAAATGCTAAAAGCTCAGAGCTTCCAGGGGCTTCGCCCCCTGGTCCCCACCAGGGGCCGTACGGTCGGCCCCTAAGCAATCACAACATATACTATTATTATTAATAATAATAGTAACATAATAAGTAATAATATAGTACATTATAGGCACAGGTATATACGGGATGCAATTTAGGCATGAATAAAACACATGCGCTAGGCTACTATTCGCTTCTACATCAAGCAAACACGAGCAATCCATACAGTCAATCCCCTCATGAATGTATATGGAGTAACCAGCTAGTGAGACTACTGGAAAAGAATAAGCAGGGAATAACGCGGAACACACAATCAAAGCTCAAATCACCAGATCTGCAAGAAGTGAGCAACAAAACCTTATCAGCGATACGAGAACATGTGAAACGTGGTTATTTTTAACCGCATACGATAACTTAGCAAAGGCGACGTCTAAGTCAGTCTGGCTGTGCAAATTCCTAGGAACAATTGCGGCCATACGGGAGCAAAAGTTAGTTATGCACCCACATAAAAAGTTTCACATAAAGTTTAGTTAAGCACCCACATTAAAGTAGGGTGGCCTGCAATAGTAAAGGAATGATGCCAAATCTGATGTAAATCAGGTAAAAGGAGACATTGGATTGACAGCAGTAAGTTACACAACCGTACGTAGTTATAAAATCAGAATATATATAATGGTTGTGTTTAAATTTAATTTAATTATCTGTATATTTTTGGCAAGTATGATTCGCCTGTAAGATAATTCTCATAAGTAAGCATACCACCTAATATTATAAAATATTATAATAATATAAATACGGTAATTAGTAGCAAGTTTATTATTATATTAATAAGATTAATGAAGATTAATAAGAATTTACAGATTTATTATCGTTATTCTAATGTAAACGCGTGGTGCAGTTTACGGTGTAGAGTGTGGAGAGAGGTGACAGTTACAAAATACAAGAGAAGTCGAGAAAAGATAGTGGCATAAAGTATAAACTTTACTAAGAAGAAACTTAACCAGAGACACAACCGAACTGAACAGTGCTATAGAGCCAAGTACACTATATATATAGTATAAAGTTAATAATAATATAAAATAAATATAATATAACAAGAAGGAAGAATTGCAAACTTAAGATAGTAATCCAAAGCCAAATTAAACTTACGTGTACAGGCGAGCAAAATCTACGTCTCTGCTTAAAGGAGTGGAAAAACTACAACTCCAGTCGCAGCGCGTTCTCTTTTATACAACCCGCTTAGCCCGAGCTATCACACAATCCACATCACCACGAGATCCCTCTCTTATATGGCCTCCCTTACGGCCGGACAATGCACACCAGCAGTTACCCGTTTAAGAACTAACCTCTAAACAAATGTTCTCGTTATGTCCGTAAATGATATAGCAACTGTTATTGCAAGCATTTGCGGTGCGGTCGGATCTTCGGCCAACTATGCTACTTAATTCACACCTTTGCAGCTGGGCGCTCCCGAGACAGCGAGGGTAGTGAGCCCAAGGGCGTACGTAACCAGGAGGAGGGGGGGGGTTGTTCCGACGACCCCCCCAGCGGGATTGGGAGTTCCGCTCAAATGTATACAGAATTTTTTAACCCTATTTCGAATTCCAAACACCAGTGGTGGTTAAGACAAATTAACAAAGTTGGGAACAATTTTTAGGACACGACGCGTGGGTAGGACACGTTCTCACGATGTAACAATCAATCCTCGAAATGACCCGATTACGAGACTCCACACCAACATGTAAGTGTCAGATGTAAGTTTTCACACTGCCAGATAATTAAGTACAAAATAAAGAAGTCATGGCACACCCCTAATTGTCTACGCTTCTAATCACAATGAAAACTAGTTCCCTGAAACTCATTAAGACTCATTAATTACAGGATAATTATCCAGTGCACGTATATGTATTATTCCCGCAGTATTGTGAGAATAAAGTGAGAAATAATTAATTTAACATTGTGTAACGTTTTTATTCCACAAAGCCTATTGAAGTAACACACGGACAAAGCGTACTCTTCCACACTTCAGGGGCAGACAACACACCGACATAGACAGAATGATGCAGCTCGCATAATCATTGTAGTGACAGAAGACTTTTTTTATTAGCTTATTTGAATAGACTACAAATTTGCGCTCACCATGACGCCAAATCAGTGACGAAACGTGCACAGAAACGCTCGAGTAAATGCTAGGTCACACTCACTATTCTCAACACTGTGATTTGGTAGCGCCACCTGAGAATGCAATTTCGAAAAAAATAATTCATTTATCGACGAATGAATGTTTCTCTACAGGTATACTGTACAATGTCAACGCAAAACAACACACCAAACCCGAATCAACACACTTTTATTACACGCGATAACGGAAGACCACGGCAGATATATGCCACGAAAATCAGCGTTGATTCACGCTCAGTATTAGCTTGCAGTGTCGTACACAGATAAGGCCAGGGACAGAGCTGCTTTTCGAGCTGTTGTTTTGATCTCTTACTCAAAGTTGATTACTTTACGTTTTCACTTCTCTGCCATCTTCCGTGGCCAGAGAACAGATATACGATGCAGATTTATACAAACTTAAACAAAGCTCAACACTACAGTAAAAACTATCCAAGCATCGCGCACATACACACACGCGCACGCACGCACGCTCGCGTGTGCATACGGGGGTTAAAACATCAGACAGTGAAACTAAACACGCTTAAAAACACTTTTTCAAAGTTAGATCTGTGGCAAGTGACCCACTGTGGATCATTGGTCGCGTGATTTCGCTGATCTGCGATAAAAAAAGCTCAAACTTAATTCACCTGACCGTCTCATCACAGACAAAAAAACAACTACCGATGCACGAACCTTATAACTTCCCAGTGCTTCCCGTCTGCATTCGAAGCGCCCCGGGGATATTCGACGAAAGAGTTCCTTCGTAAATAAATGCATGATTTCTACGCAATTCAATTCGATATTTAGAACACGCATGTAATATTCCCCATGTGGCATTCCCCTTGTGAATACACGATTTCTTACGATATTAGGAATACGCATACAATGACATTCCCTCCATGATTTCATTTAGAATTCAGTATACACATGCTATTATTCCAAGCGGCATTTCGCCGTAAATGCAGGATTCCATTCGATACAACCTCACACGCATTCCTGATAAGGAGAGGAAGACGATGATGACATCTTTGGCCGCTAGAGGGCTATTTGGCTGCAGCAGACACAGTCTGGGTCGGGCGCATGGAAGGGAGGTGAGAGGGAAGAAGTCCTTCTAGGTGGGTAGCCACTTTGTCGGAACCGCGAGGACAGATCCCAGCCATAATACGGGCACTGGTGTAGTCCCTACGTCTGCCAACAACTCCTCACACCCCTTCAACCAGCGTGTACTTGGACCCAATTGAAATACGTGCCCATATATGGACGGCCTCTGTCCTCGCAGATGCTCGTATATTGGCGCGGGAATCGCAGCGATTTCTGATCAGTGACGGATGAAGGTAAGTATAGATTGCGCATGCGCGGCTTTTCCTACAGATTTATATAATGTACAGTGATACAATTTGTTAAAAAAAAGAAGAAAAAAAAGATCAATAAAATTTTTTGAGTCGGCCCCTTTTTGGCGGGTCGGTCGGGCAAACAAACAATATTTTTATCATGGCCTGAGGGAGCGCTGTGGGTCGCACGTACCTGGTTGCACTGCTCGCTGAGGGAGCCCTCCGGATCGCACGCACACGACTCGCAGCCCTCCCCGCTCGCAATCTTCCAGTGGTTGAGCGCGCATTCATCGCAATACTGGTTGATGACGTTCGGCAGACATTGGCACTGGCCGGTATAGAGGTCGCACGCTCCCGCGGAGTGGTTCGTACCGAGGATGTTACATGTGCACCCTGCAATGACGCACAGACGTACTCAGTACTTTTATTATAAGCATTAATTAAGTATTTAAGTATCAAAATATTATTAAGCGCACCCTGTATTTCTTAGAGTAATTATAAGCAGACCCTACATTGCACAAGGTGTCGGTAAGCGCCCCCTGTATATCATATAGCATCGATAAGCGCCCCCTGTATGTCACATAGCGTTGATGAGAGCCCCCTGTATATCATATAGCGTCGATGAGCGCCCCCTGCATGTCATATAGCGTCGATGAGCGCCCCCTGCATGTCATATAGCGTCGATGAGCGCCTACGATCAGCGGTCGTTAGCACTCGTTACCTCTGCCAGCATCTCGTCAGCGACCTTGCCCTTGTTGTCCAGCACGGCTTCTGTCTCCTGCGCGAGATCGAGCGAGGACTTCGCCTTGTCCGCAGCGCCGTCGCAGCTGAGCCCGCCACACTTGCCACAGCCGGCGCCACCGCAGAGACCGTCGCACGGATCACCGCGTCCGTCGCACACCTACGGGGCAGACAGAACATTGTCATCATCATCGTCATCGTCATCGTCATCGTCATCATCATCATCATAGTCATCGTTATCATCATCATCACCATCATCATCATCGTCATCATCATCATCGTCATCGTCATCATCATCATCACCATCATAGTCATCGTTATCATCATCATCATCATCACCATCATAATCATCGTTATCATCACCATCATCGTCATCATCATCATCATCATCATCATCACCATCATAATCATCGTTATCATCACCATCATCGTCATCATCATCATCGTCATCACAGATTTGTTAGCATTTCTTGTAATGTCGGTGAGAGATAGAGAACACTTCACGCACGCACGCATGCATCACCCACCAGGTCATTGATATCAGCAATCTGGTCCTTCAGGCCCATGACCTTGTCCTCAATGTCGTTGAGCGCGACCTCGTTCTCCTGGTACTTGCGATCAAAGTCGGACTTCGAGTCGGCGATGAGGTTGTCGACGCGGCGACGCTCGGCTTGCGAGTGACGCACGGTGTCGCCGGCTGCCCTGACGACGGCCTGCGCTGCCTGCGATCGTCGCTGCGCCTCACGCGTGATGTTGAACGCACCTGCGGGGTAGAGCAAGGACAATCACGTATGTGTACAGTAACGGGGAGGGGGGCGACGCGCGAGAAACAGAAGCACGACAAATATACGAAGGGAGAAAGGGAGGGGGAAGGGAGGGAGAGAGAGGGAAGGAGAGAGACAGAGAGAGATAGAGCGAGAACAAAATAGAGAAAAGAAGGGAGAGGGAGGGAGGGAGGGAGGGAGGGAGAGAGAGCGTGACACAGAGTAGGACTGCGAGTGCTGCCTGCGATCGCCGCTGCGCCTCACGCCTCATGTTAAACGCACCTGCGAGGATGCATGTGTACGGTCGATGTACGTGTACGGTAGAAATACATACAAATACGAGTGAGCGGTGACGGAGGATGCAAAGCACGCGTGATGTTAAACGCACCTGCGGGGTAGAGCAAGGAAGATCACGCATGTGTACGGTAACGGGGAGGGGGGGGCGAGAAACAGAAGCACGACAAATATACGCGCGAGCGGTGACGGGGGAGGGAAAGAGAAAGTGAGTGAGAGAGATAGAGAGAGAGAGAGAGAGAGAGAGAGAGAGAGAGACAGAGAGAGAGAGAGAGAGAGAGAGAGAGAGAGAATAAAATAGAGAAAAGAAGGGATCTATTTTGATGTGTGTGGGGGGGCGAGAAACAGAAGCATGACAAATACGCGTGAGCGGTGACGGGGGAGGGAAAGAGAAAGTGAGTGAGAGAGATAGAGAGAGAGAGAGAGAGAGAGAGAGAGAGAGAGAGAGAGAGAGAGA